ATATATTTCAGAGAGGAAGGGAGAGGGAGAGAAAGTTAGAAACATCAATGATGAGAGAGAATCATTGATTGGCTGTCTCCTGCATGCCCTCTATTAGGAATCGAGCCCACAACCTCGGCCTATGCTCTGACCGGGAATTGAGCCATGAACTTCTGGTTCATAGGTTGACATTCAATGACTGAGCTACACAGGCCAGGCATCATTACACTTTTCTTTTCCCCATTTTACAAGTATTTTAAAAGTATCTTTGTAATTTGTGGTTAGTATTTAGAGTATACTTGATTTGACAGTTATTATTTATTTTTAGAAAATGGGGTTTTTTACTTCTCTGATAACACATGTGCACAATGATGGATATTGTTAATGAAGATCCCATATGGAATGAGTTGAACTGTAGGATCCTCACAAGACCTAATAGATCAAGAATGTACCTGGTGTTTTTTTTTCTTTTGTACTGAAGAATTTTCTGGAGGTGGCAGAGCACTTCCTCTTGTAATCCTTATTGATTTGTTACTTCCTACCAAAGATTTTCCAAAGACATGATAAAAATGATGTAATTTCTGCATGTCCCTTATTCCTTTGGCGTCCTTGGATTTAGCTGTAGGAAATAAATACATCATTAAAATATGCTGACAATGCTCTTTATAAATAAGAATTTCATTTAGAAAGCATTTGTGAAAAAGGCTTTGACAAACACTTGCAAACACTTAAAACTTGCACTAATTATAGACATGTTAGAGATTGAGATAGAGAAACTCAAATTATTTGAGCCATATTTAAATAACATGGTACAATCTAAATCAGTGTCTTGTCATTTTCACTTTAGTACAACCTATTAGGCATTATGGGTACATCCCATAGAATAAGTCAATGGTGAGCTTACACTTTTCTTTTCTTCTAGGACATTAGAACCACAAAAGTAACTTTAGCTTTTTGGCATTTTTGATGGCTCTGGGCATAGTGTCGAGAACAAAGGACACGAACACTCTGGAAGAGCTTCCAATTTAGAAACAAGGTCTCTGGAAACCACCCCCAAATTAGGTCAGAAACATTTGGCTAAAACAGCTAATCAAATTCCAGGAAATGTGCAGCAGTACTGCACACAACTAAAAGGAATTTATCATTCTCCATGCTGCTGCCGGAGTAAATATAACCCAATCGTGTTGCTCATGTGGTTTGAACATCTTAGTGGCTTCCTGTTGCTCATCTATCATTCAGAATCCGCACTAAAGACTGCATGGTTCAGACCCATCTCACATCAATCTCTGTGCTACAGGCCCTCTGGCTACTTCCTTATTGGCCCCCACCACTACCACACACCTGCATAACTATCTTCATCTCTCAGATTTGGTTTGAAAATCCTCAATCCCTCAAGCCTACCCTTGGTATACCCTTTGCACCTGATTGTAGTAGTCATCATAATCTCTCTATATAAAAGGCTAATATGCCAAGTGTCCCCTCGGGAGCTCAACCAGGAGACCGGGAGTTCGATCACTTGCTATTATGTTTGCTAACCACCAGGGGGCGGCACGAAATGAAGGAAGGCCCCAGCCGGCAGCCGGAAGGCCCCAATTTGCCCTGATCGCCAGCCAGGCCTAGGGACCCTACCCATGCACGAATTTCATGCACCGGGCCTCTAGTTTTAAATAAGTATCTCTGCAGTGGTTTGTTTAACATCTTCTATTCCTGCTAAACTGTGAGCACTACAAGAGCAGGAATATATCTTTCATGTTCCCTGCTGGATTCCCAGAGCCCAGCCCAAAACTAGGCAGATGGTAACTCTCAATTCATAGGATAGATACTGAATGAGTATGTCAGAGTCCTGCAATCCCAATCCAGCTGCCACTTCCCAATCTATAGGGAATCCTAATGGTATCCAACTGATTTTTTTAATTTTTCCTAAACTGCTTTTCCTGTACCAGTTTTCAATCCAAGAAGATAACAAGATTAGAGAACTATAGTGGCCCATAATATTTAATTGCCAAATTAATTACTAAATCATTTGAATATCTGTTACTTATTTCACTTAATTAATAATTATTAAATAGCATTTTAAAGCAAATAATATAATTAGTAATTTGGACAAACAATGAAAATATAATGTGATTAAGGAAGGTATTAGGTCTCATGAGATAATACAACAGGAAAGTTTGAGAAGAACAAATAATTAAAGATACATTAATAATAATATAATTTGTTGTAGGAACCCAAGAAAAAATTTTAAAAGATTCCCCATCTCAACAAAACAACTCCCCCACCCCAATTAGACTGATTGGAATCTCATTTTTCATACTATAGAAGCCAGTTCTTCCTGGTTCTGATGTAAAAGATGTTGGAAATTTGTATGCTGGCCTGAGAGAGAGAAGAAGACTATAAATTAGATTTCACTAATCTCTGATCACTCATTTATTCTTATACATTAGATACAATTTAATCTATAAGAATGTTGAAAATGTTGATGATATTAGTTGTACTTACCATCACTGTTGCACTTTGTCCTTTCAAAATCATCACTGAGAGGTCTAGAAGAATGCCAGTGTGTGAGTTCATCAAATTCTTTCTTCTTAGAAAGAGATGTAACAGCTGGGTCATCACTAGGAATACAATAAAAAGGCATACATTATAATACACATATAATTTTTTTCAGTTTCTACTATAAGCCATGAACTTATTTAATGGGTCTCTACCCTTAATTTTATGATTATAAATGAACAAAATATATTTTAAAACAATGCATCTCATGAAGAAATAGTCAAGAAGTGTAGAGAGCGCTGGGGAAGGCACATGGGCATTTCTTTAATTATTGTCAGCTGAAGCCAGTGGCATTGGCAAAGCCACATCCTGGAAACACATTTTGCCAAAAGGCAGGAGTGTTGTCAGCTTGACCTTCAGCCCAGGTGCCAGGGGGTGGGTTTTGTTTTCTAAACCCAGCCAAGCACCAGGAATGAATACGACTCAGGCCCACCCAAGAATGCACATAATCTCCTTTGTCTTGACTTTTAGTAAAACTTCCTGTTTTTTGCTGTATAAAATAAATACACTGTACTGGCTCAGGGTCACTGTCTCTGTCCCTGTCCCGATCAGAGGACAGTGGTCCCACCCGGCCCCAGCTTTTTTCTTCCATCTCTGTGTCTGTCTCTTTCTTTCATTTTCTCAATCCCCAGCCGCCCCTACTCAGGAACCAGACTGCTCTCTAGCTGTGCTGGACGCGGAGAAGAGAGACATATTTACAAAGAAGTGGACAAGGATATCTGTAGCACTGTCATCTCTATAACAATAAAAAGTGCATATTAAGAATTTATTTGTATGTAGGAATGAATTAGGCACCAAATAACAATAAAGGGTATATAGCATCATCTATAAGATATGAAATTTCTAAAGTTGAGAGACACTTCTGGATTATTTTAGCTTGTTTGTGTGTATGTGCATGTACTTGTACAATATTTCAAGCATAGAGAAAAACAGTTAGAGAGTAAGTGATACACATGAACCAAGATATTCACTGAGTTCCTGTTTTGTGCCAGATACTCTTCTAGATGCTAAGAATATGTTAATGAGCAAAACAGACTTTTAAAAAATGTCTGTGGATTTTATACATAAACAGGATTGCAAACAACAAAGAAATACTAATATAAAGGTTAAAAATGATCATGCATCATGTAAGCGGTGGGACACATCCTTGTTAAACAATGTCCTCATTGTATGAACATCATAGAAAGCACTTTGCCCAGCCAGTGTGGCTCAGTGGTTGAGCATCGACCTATGCATCAAGAGGTCACAGGTTCGATTCTCAGGGCACATGCCCGGGTTTCGTGCTTGATTTCCCAGTAGGGGGCATGCAGGAGGCAGCCGGTCCATGCTTCTCTCTCATCATTGACATTTCTCTTTCTCCCTCTCCTTTCCTCTCTTTCTAAAATAAATAAAAACATTTTTTTAAAGAAAGCACTTATACAAACCTAGATGGCATAGCCTACTACACACCTAGGTATATGGTATAAGCTATTGCTCCTAGGCTACAAACATGTTTGTAGCATGTACCGAATTATAACACAATGGTAAGTATTTCTGTATCTAAATGCTTCTAAACACTTGCAGGGACAGGAAGAGGGCTGTGGAGGGAGGTGCCTTCAGAAGGAAAATAGATGCCAGGAAGAGGAAAGAAGAGTAGGGGTGAGAAAAGGAGAGCAGAGATCAAAAGCAACCCAGAGATAAGTTTAAGAAGAGAAATAATAAAAAGGAAAGGCAGAGGGAGAAAGAGCAGAAAGGGACTGGGAGGAAAGAGATAACGAGAAAATGAAGGGAAATGAGTTCGTGTGCACGTGTGTGTGTGTGTGTGTGTGTGTGTGTTTACAGGGACTGGGTCATGGGAAGGGCAGGCTCCTGGCTGCCCTCCTCCCCAGCCCACTCTTCTCACTCCCTTGCCATCTCAGGGCCACAGCCTTGGGGAGGAACCGGACAGCATGCTGAGCCTCCTTGTCTATTTAAACCACTCAGAGCCTGCAGTAAGTTCAACGTTGTAGTTGTGGATGGTCTAGTCTTTTCTTTCAGCATTACAAACTTTTTGCTTATAATCCATTAAAATATTACAAGACCCCTGTTGTATATGCAGCCATCATTGACTGAACTGTCAGTACTCTACATACTATGCCAGATGGTGAAAAGCATGAAGGAACAAAAATAAAGCAGGGAGACAGGATTGTGAGTTCTGGGAGGAGGAGATGGTGTGATCTTAAGAGGAATTGTCAGGAAAAGCTTTGCTAGGAAGGTATTTGAGCAATGGGTAAAGGGTTGTCCAAGTCAGCATATTTTGAACAAATAGAACAGCAAGTAGATAGGCTTGAGGTGGGACTATTGTGTTCAAGATACACAATAGCCACGACATGGAAACAATGTAAGTATCCATTAACCGATGCATGGACAGAAAATGAGATAAACAGATAGATGGTAGATGGATAGATAGATAGATGATAGATAGATAAATTTATAGATAGATATACATGCACAGTAGAATAGTACTCAGCCATCAAAAAGAAAGAAATTCTGCCATTTGAGACAACATGTATAGACCTAGAGGGCATTATGCTAAGTGAAATAAGTCAGATAGAAAAAAACAAATACCATATGACACTGCTTTATGGAATTAAAAAAAAAAAAAGCCAAGCTCATAGAAACAGAATGGTAGTTGCCAGGGGCTGGGGATTGGGGAAATGGGAAGATATTGGTCAAAGGATGCCAACTTCTAGTTATAAGAGGAATAAGCTCTGGGAATGTAATGTACAGCATGGTGACTTTAGTTAACAATACTGTATCATATACTTGGAAGTTGCTAAGAGAGTAGGTCTTAAATGTTCTCATCACACACACAAAAAGGGCAAAGTGAGGTGGTGACTTGTGTTAACTAACCTTATTGTGATCATCTTGATTTGTATGTCAAATCATCACACTGTACCCCTAAAACTTACACAATGTTACTTATGTCAATTTTCTCTCTATAAGGCTATGGGTGGGGGAATAGGAGGCCAGCATGGACAGAGCAAGAGAATCTGGGCGTGATTAGTAGGAAATGAAGTGAAAGTCTTTTATATCTGAATGAGTTAAAATTTCTTGGAAGGTTTCGAGCAGAGGAGAGGCATAATCTGATTTCCCCCCACAGCATCACTGTCTGCTGTGCTGAGAACATAGTGGGGGAGGCAGGTGTAGCAGGAGGCCAGCTAGGGAACTACTGCAACAATAGAGAGATGATGGCAGGCTGTACGAGGTATGCAGGCTGGGCAGAAACAAGAAAAGGAATTACTCTACATGTGTTTTGATGAACAGAAATGGGAGTTGGGCTGAAAGATTGGATGTGCTACAAGAACGATAAAGAGTAGTTAGGCATGCCCTGGCCAGTGTGGCTCAGTTGGTTGGAGTGTCTTCCCATGCAATGGAAGGTCAAAAGTTTGATTCCCAGTCAGGGCACATACTTAGGTTGCAGGTTCAATCCAGTCCCCAGTGTGTGTGTGTGTGTGTGTATAGGAGGCAGCCTTTTGATGTGTCTCTCTCTCTCTCTCTCTCTCTCTCTCTCTCTCTCTCTCCTTTCTCTCCCTCTCTTTCTCTCTCTCTTTCTCTCTTTTATCTTCCCCTTCCTCCCTTACTCCCTTCCTCCCTCTCTAAAAAACAGTTATGGCCCAAGAAATGGAAGGAAATACAATATAAAGACAGGAATGCCAAAGGAAGATGGGGTTCCTGCCAGAAGATCAGGATTTTGGCATTTACACATGGAGTTTTGGATGTCTGCGAGACAGCCAACTAGAATCAGGAGTTCTGAGGATTGAGTCAAGATACAATTTGGGGAATTCAAAGCAAAAGACAAACAAACAAGCAAAAAAACTAGAAATATAAATGGAGGACTTGCTAGCAGGAAGTTGATATTTAAAGAGACAATTGAATACCATCCTTGCTTGAATATAAAGCAAAATTCACTAAAATTACAATAAAAATTTATCTCCCAGTGTGAAATTTAATTTACATATGTACAATATATGCAACAATAAATCCAGTTAATTCACTATACTGGATATAATGATTGATAGGTAGATGATTGATAGATAGATAGATAGATAGATAGATAGATAGATAATTACAAACAGGCAACATTTTTCCATAAATACCTGCTTAGAAAAGGTAGTTCTGACAAAATATCTCCAGCATAATCTTCTATAATCTCAGCTTTCAGAGGAATGAGTCCTAATTTATGACTTCCTTGATTTGATCCTGGTACTATTTAGAAACACAATTAATATTTGAACAGAAAATTCTAAGAATTTACCAATGTGATGTAAATGTGTGTGGAACAGCAAAATTAAACATTTTCATGATTGTTTTCAAAATAAATAATACTTCAATGGAATTGTTGCAAATCAGGTTGTTTAGATCAACTTTATATTATACCCATTAATTCACAAATGTAAATGTATATTGGGTGAATTGATGTATAATTTTATTTCAAGTAAAGTTGATGGCATTTGAGAAACAGTGAAGAAATCAACATTTAAAACTTGTCAGCACCTCTAGGTGATGTTTTTTTCTGTGTAAGAAATGGTCTGGATGTTGTCCTCACAGGCATAGATCCTCCGAAATCATCATCCTCTGATAATGTTAAGACTGTGTTCCACAATTCCTCGTATCCCTGTTTCAAAGTGTTACCCAATTCCAAATTGAGCCCTAGGTAGGAGAGAAAATATGTTCAAATTAATAATTAAAATCTGAGTGATAGTCACCATATTTTATATGTTTTATGAGTATATGAGTTATAAGTGTATGTCTGGGAGTATCTCATAGTAGAGGCTTAAAACAAAACAGAATAGGCTTCGGCATATTTTTCATGTTGTTACTAATGTTATAAGAGAGTAAAATATCTTTGAACTCTCTGAACTTTGTGACTTTTTTCTAGAACCAGAGTCATAGAAGCATTGAACAGACTGTCCAACCTGTGAGGGAAGGCGGGGGGGTAAGGGAGTAAGAGATCAACCAAAGGACTTGAATGCATGCATATGAGCATAACCAATTGATGCAGATGGGGTGGTGAGGGCATGTGCTGTGGGAGGGGGGGGCAGCAGGGAAAGGTCAATGGGGGGGGGAAAGGAGACTTACATAATACTTTAAATAATAAAAAATAAAAAAATAAAAAGATGAGACGATTCTCTGAAACCCAATAGCTATAAATCAAAGCATTTGTTCATTTTCTTCTATTAACAGAGCAATTCATTTACCGGAGTTTTATGTAATAAGATTGACAATAAAGAATTTAAATTTTTTAAAAAAGCTGGTAAGCAGAGGAATAGACCAGGAATTAAAATTCCCTCATCCATCCCGTGTTATACTCCCACTACAGAAGCCTTTCCCTGTCTTGCCTGACCTTAAGAATTATTCAGGGTGCTTATTAAAAATAAAATTTTTCAAAACACTGTTCTAGAAAACTGTGAGTCAATGAATCTGGGATGACATCCAGGAGTTTGCATTCTTTAAGAAGCATCCTAGGTGATTCTTACACTTAGGCGAGTTTAGGAATCGCTACCTCTATTTTAAAAACAAAATTATTTGTTTCTGCTGTAATACAGACTATTTGTTGCTGAATGTAAAAAAAATTGACAGTTTTAGTTTAAAGTGAAACATATTTCCCACTGTTCCATATGTACGCAAAAAAATAAAAATCTTTAATATTTGGGGAAAAAAACACCTCTCCTTCCCTCACTCCCTCCCTTACCACCCCGTCTCTCAAAAAAAGCACTAGAGTAGTTCTCATAATATACATACATGTAAATATATATATATATTAGAGGCTCATGGTGAGGGGGGGGCCCTCAGCTTGGCCTGTACCCTCTCCAAACCGGATGTCCGACTACCAGTTTAGGCCCAACCCCAGAAGTCAGACATCCCTCTTGCAATCCAGGATCACTGACTCCTAATCACTCACCTGCCTGCCTGCCTAATGCCCCTAATTGCTCCCCTGCCTGCCTGATCACCCTAATGGCCCTCCCCTGCCGGCCTGATCACCCCTAACCCCCTGCCAGCCTGATCTCACCCCTAACTGCCCCCCCATGGCCTGATTGACCTTAACCGCTATATTTGGACTGATAGCCAGCCATATGCACTACACTGCCAAACCAGTTATTAAAAAATTGAACCATTTTCTTACACCTTACAATAAATAGCTGCTGCCCTTAAAACCCCTTCTCAGCCCTCACCTTAGGTTCTGCCTTTGCAGTTCACCCAGATTAGGTTCTGATTGGTCGGTTTCTATGCCAGTCAGTATCAAAAGCTCCACCTCCTAGGCAGCCATTGGCTCCTATGGGAAATCCAGAATGGCCCACCTTCACATAGGTGCCAGACCTTCAGTCATGTTCCCAGTCCGCTACCAGGTGTATCCCTGGCCACTCTGAGAAGTGGCACCTCAGGTCTGTGCTGGTGGCAATTTTGAATTCTCATCCCTGACCTAACCTTCTTACAGTGCAAGCTCCATGAAGGAACTGCCTTCGCAGTTCATCCAGATTAGGTTCTGATTGGTCAGTTTCTATGGTAGCACCACATAGTGACCGGTCATTTGGTCGTTCTGGTCGTAACAGACACAAGCTATATATATATGTATGTATATATCTTAGAACTGTTATTGGTGTTGCTGTATTTTTCTATCACTCTTAACAAAACCAGATGGGCCAATGAGAAGCCAGCCCGTGGCTCCAATGTGATGGGTGAAGGAGTCAGGAATCAATATCAGGTGTTCTGTAGGTCATGCTGGAAGTAGTGAGGCAGGGCTTCTGAACTGTACATCTTCATTTCTTCACATAATATTCCAACCTGACACATCTTGTCCAAAACAATCAGCAGCAAAGCTATGGTGTCACATTGTATAAGATATACAAATTATCCAATATATGAAAGATATACAATAAGTGATAACATTTATTGTAGAGCTCTAAGAGTAGCTCCCATAGTCCTATTTAAACTACCCACCCCACTAGCTGATATTGTCTCATATGTAATTTTGAGGGGGAAAAATTCCTTAAAAATTGCACAATGGAACAATTTACCTCATGTGGAAATAAAAACTTTCAATAGAAAATATTTGCAAAGAAAGCTTCCTATCCAATTGTAGTTAATCAATGAATAGTCCATTGCCATTGCTTGTTAGATACAATTCTCACCCACCCACTAAAAAATAAAATACTTAACTACACAATTCTTTAAAATATATCTCTACAGGAGACATCTGTAATACTATCAACAATAGAAAATATACATAAAAAATTATTCTATAGTACAGATAAAAATTTAAAAATAAAATATACCTCTATTATGTTCAATTTCATAATAATAAGCAATATTTTTCCACAAACTATTATCAGTTAAATCAGGTAGGCCAGTGAAATTCACATTCCAATTATTCCTTGCTTTTAAATGTTTTAAGATGAAAAATTGACATCTTTTTAGCTGGAAAAAAAAGAAGAGAAAGAGACATGTCCTAATGATATAAAATCTTCCCAGAATGTTCATGACTTCCTTAAACTTTCCTCAAGAAGGAAGTCATGAACTGTGCCTTACCCCAAGAAAAAGGAACTAGACTACATATGAAAACACAATGCGACTGCCCTGGCATTGACAACATCTACAACTATATACAAATGACTTACTTAATTTATGCTTCATTTTTTTATAATTGTAAGATAGTATGGTTAATCTAGATACCTTCCAACATACCTTGCAGCTCTGAAATGAAATGACACTTTGAATTTGTCACAGTAAATATGCCTTCATTGACTCAAAATAACAGTCATTACAGAAAAGTAGTGGGTACTTCATTATTATTTCTATAGTTTCCATTAAAAGTTGCTTATGGCATCATTTAATGAGTTAGGGCCTAAATAAAATACAATGACATATCAGATGGGATTTCTTAAATATGCAATGAAAATGTCACCTGTATACATAATCCCATTGTGCTGACAATGACTAGATAACGTAATCAACAGTGCAGTTTAACAGCCATACAACTGTACTTTAATTTATTGTATGACATAGGTTTCCCAATATCTCACAAAGGGACTGTTTTAGCTTTCTGTACCTTATCATTCCTTTATCTCAGACTATACTAAAGCTAATGGGAATCATTTTTACTTAGCAGGCTTAAGTATAATAAAATAGGTTATATAATATTTTCTCTGCTTAAAGTTTGCTCCAAAATGCAACTGTTTTCTTGACCTAAGTGTTAATCCAAAATAAGACTGCAATATACTCTACCAGCAATTTTCAACCAGTGCACCACCAGAATTATTAAAACATACAATACCTG